CAGTGAGGATCACGCGGTCCGCATCCTGGAGGGCGAGTAGCACCGACAGCACCCAAACGTTTCGTGATTTCTTTCATACCCCTCTGCCATGTCAAGGGTTGGCCACCTCTCTGTTTACGCCACTCCGAATTGGGCATGGAAAACAGCACTCTTCGGCAAACGATGGTTCGGCATGCGTAAAACATGTCCCAACCAACGCAGCTTCTGGTGCTAGACACATTTTTTAATGGAAGTACCCGTCGCACAACCGAAAACGCGCTTTCTGACTTCCTCGGATTGGATTCGCCGACATCAAACCCTACGAGCGATTGTTCTGAGACTACGATTGTGGAACGCCTGAAGACGTCTCAGTTCCGCTAATAGGCCAATGCTCGAATAGGCCAAGTCTCACAGCCACATTATAGCCTAATGCACACGCCCCTTGAGATTTAGGGATACAGCACCTTAACGCCATAGGTATCGTAAACTAGCAAAGGCGACCTTGCAGATTCGTGCATTGACCTCATTTGTAACATTACAATCAGAACTAATACAGCTTCCACGGGACGTGAGAAAAAATCCATTAGGGGGCGGTAAGTTAATTCTCCCCAGTGGTCCTCAGACCACGTATGAATAATGAATATCCATCAGACGTTCCGGTGGTACTTCTGATAGAATGCTGGCAGAATAGACTTCGAAGTCATCTTGTTTGCACCCAGCTGACATATCAACTCCTTTATTCCAGCTAATACATATGGTTAAGGTATGGTTGCAGGGTCACTTCTAAGGTCGCTACATAGACGGTGCGCATTCCATTGTTTCTACACCTCTAATAATATGAAAAAGCAATTACATGCCATTGAAAACAAGAGCCAAGTGAGAAATTTACACTGTGGTGAAAAATTGGGAACTTGTTCCATAGACAGATGTATTCTTCCTTCACTCCACAGCCATACACACTGTGATTTGGCGTTGCCGTTTAATTGCGGGGAGTGACTTTTGGTTCCACATGTGCACGGTTTTGTCTGTACATGCACCCCCCACACTCCACCAGCTCGATTAACCATCTGTTCAGGTTTCTTTCCCACACTCAAGTTCTACCTCACCCAAGCTAATAAATCGTTGATGAACTCAACCTTCCTGAGATCTCCTGAACGCAACAACGCTTCCTATTGCGCCTCTCGTCCTTGATCCCTGCGCGCGCGCGCGTCTGTGTGCTGACTGCGTTCGGTCTCTCTATATGTAGGTCCGTTTGCGTATACGTGGGTGCGTCAGCAGTGAGTGGTTTGGTACGCTCACTAGACGGTGCAGACAATCGACGTCTGATGAGTCACCTTAATGTGACGTGTTTGTGAGTATAAAAAAGACAAGCCTCGTGATCAAGTGAGCGACGGTGAGCTGAACAGTCAAGTATGTGGGTGACCGGGTGGCTACAGGGTCACTATACCATCTTTTCCCATTTCGGGTCTGTACGACCTGGATCACGGGTCAACCAGGAATGAGATCGATCTGGATCTCCTAGTTACCGCTTCTGCTGAATGTTATTGCTCAAAACTTTGCATGTTGCAGTCCCCAACCACTGTCTCTGCCCATCTGTTCATAGTACTACTATCTTAAAGGCTCCGCATACAGAAACGCTGCATGCCTGCAAATAATGCCGTGTTGTTGAAGAGTTGGATCGCGATTTTCCTATCCTCAGTTCAGCCGCTGCTTTCACGTGAAACCTTCCCGCGTTTAACTTCGACCTGGTTAATGTGTCAGCTATTTCGTGTACCCTAATAGTGTTCACCAACAGCTTCACTGACTTTATGCATCCTTGAAGATAGAGGGAAATTGCAAGTCGTGCGCCGAACTGTGCGCTTGCGTTTCCAGACACCACCTGTCCCGGGGACTTGCCGGTCTATTTTTATCCAATTGAATCTGAAATTCTTGCGTTCAGACAGTTTCTTCAAGGCTGGGGAGGGTTCAGTCGAAATGCATCCCCTTAGGTTTTACGTTGGTGTCAACGACCGACCCAAGTGAATCTCACTTTCATGGTACTCATCTGGGAGCACAATCGCCTGCGACGAATCAGCTCTCCTGAGAATTTTGTGTACTCTTACGAAACTCTCGTCGAACAGTACTTCCACCTTGGCATATTTTCCGAACTACTAAAAAGGTACTCTCATCCTCTCTAACCAGCCTCGAAACTCATTTCACTGACGAGTTACCACCCTTTCTTGTTCTAGCACATGCGTCCAATGAAATTTAGCTCATCGTCATCACCACAGACAGCGACTTCAGTGTTGACGCTGATGACTCAGTACCGTAGAACCACAAAGTTGACTTACTTAAATATGAGGTCTTAGACTGAAAAGAAAAGTGGGAGACAGACAGACCTGGTGTTGGCTTATCATAATCATTCTGAGGTGGCCACCATCTCAAACACCGAGTCAGACAATCTGGAAAGAAACTGACAGCAAGAACGACCCTGAAATTGGTTGGCTGTCATTTATTGCAATGTCTACAGCTTAACGGAGGAGGATAACGAAGATCACTTTTTGAAAGGCAAACTGCACCAACAATTTCCTAATCATCTACACTGCAAGTCTAACCTTTAGCAAGATCTCACAGTTGGGCCATGGATTCTCCGAAACACATTCATATCTGTATTTCCCCTTACCCCATTCCACTTTTGGCTTCTGATGTGCAGCTCTGTCATAATCTTCAATGGAGATTTAGTCCTGTAAGTGAAGCCAGTCTACACCGAAAAGACGAAAAGTGCTGTACAGCTGTCTCATTGTTATTGGGACTCGTCATGGTTGCACATCTCACGAAACTCAAAGGAGCTTTGAACTCACGACCGGTCGGTTTCGAACTTTGAACCTTTCGGCAGCTGATCAGCGGTGAGATCGCCTCGAACTATTACTCCCTGACCAATTCTGTACTCAAAATATACCAATATCACGCCACATTTAGTTGCTTACCATCATTGTGAGAATAAAGGCCGCATAGGTATGGACGAGAACGGCAGTGACCTTTCCATGGTACAACACAAGCTGCACGAGAGCTCATAGTAACCGAGTTTCGACATCAACTGGATTCCTAAAAATGACAAACTAACAAAGAGAAGAAGAGAATTCCAAGGACCACTTGTTTACAATGAAGAGAGGTTCTGATCAGCTCAATCCTTGTTCTAGCTAAAACAGCGAATTCGGAGTAAAGTATTACGTGAAACGGAACATGGTTTCGGCAAGGAGTGGGTAAACAAGAATTAGGTCACCTTACAGTTACCCGTCTCATCCACGTGGATAGAGTGAACAAACCCATGACCTACTTGTGAAGCACTCTTCATTACACTTGGAATAGTCTTGATAGGGTTTACCACAACCGCTCCGTAGAATTCGGGACAGTAAGAAGGGATTCAACAAAACCACTTTCCGGCACCATTCAACCTAACGCAGATCCGGTGTTAGAAAGGAGATTGACATAAACATAGGGGAATGGAGACACGGACATTATGGTTGTGAAGGATAATGGATGGAATATCAGGGATCGCGAGTTTTGTTATGAGACAAATGTTTCCGGGTGCAGCACCAATGCGAGCGTACGACCAAGAATGGCGACCTGTGGCAATTCGAACGAATGTGAACAAGGACAGCACGGAAATCTGACTACTTGTGAGTAGTCATAGTTTATACGGAATCTTATAATGGACCAGAAGTTTCCAATCCATACTCGCAATGATCCAGCTATACCAGATGTCTGCAGTTTCAACACGAGAACTCAACGGTTCACATGATCAAACGCTTTTGCGGTGTCAAGTTGTGCCATTCTACTCTAGCATCCATAATTCACCAAGATGTGGATGGGTGCTGATTACAGAAGCCGTTTTGCTTCGGGACTGAAATCGCTTTTCCTATCTGCATAATGGATCACGACCACTTTGGTTTTGGATGTTCTGAAAAGATGGTGGCTACAGATGGGCAGTTGACGAATCTACTCCGCGGCCTCACTGGAATACTGGTTTCAAGACTCATTCTTTACATCTGAAGTGGGAATAAACGATTCGATAGCCACCGTATAGCATGCAACAAGCTGTAATGCAGAGTACAGAAAAGTACTGTTGTTTTACTACTTTTCCTACAGCTTTCACTTTCCTCACTAGTTTCTTCGTTTCCTAGGTGATGACTGCCCATTTTCATTGGAAGATGTTGTGACTTGTTAAACGGTTGTGCAGCTGTGTGTTGGTCCTTGGCTTTATGGAGCTAAGGAAAGATTATTACAACTCTGTTTGTAGGGTAACCACAGAATGCTCCACAAGTTTGTTCTGGGGGATTTTGGAAGCGGAAAGAATCACATCATATTTTCTGGTGTGACACATACGCGGAATGTCTTTAATGGGGTATTCATGCAGGGTGAACTACTAGACTGAAAATTGCGGTCAAATTCCATATGCGTACTCATTAGGAACCAGCAGGGTGCATTCTTGGCGGTAGCGTGATTTCACCAGCTGCCCATAGCACTGTTTACTGTTCACCAGGCAATGTTTCGGAACCTGGAAGACTAGTTCAGTTTGAGCGTTCGAAACTACCGCTTGCAGGTCGGCAACATCAAACCAGGAAGACGTCAAGGCTCCATTAACCCATAGTCATAAACTGTCAACCCTGTAGCTCATGTCCTACAGATTCCGGCTGAGCTGATGTCAGCTCTTGGCTAAGATGCATCTGTCATGTGATTGGCTAGAGCCGATGCTATTTGGCCTATGGATACCCATGATATTGGGCCAATGAAAGTACTCCGGATGGTGTGAACAAACGAGCACATATTCGTATACTTGTCAGAGCGGAATAAAACTCTATACCACCAGCCCACTCATACAACAATACAAACTAACCCAGAATTGAAGCAGGTTTTCCCTGTCACATGCCTCAATGCCTAAGTGGACCTCAGATTTATTACGCTTTGCTATAAAAACTCATAAAACAAATGATTCGTGAAGTGACTTTAAAAGGGGCAACGGACAGAGCTGAAAAACTGTATTCAGTCAGCATTCCCAGGCAGCTTTCTTGCTTTCATAAACTTTGTTTCTCACCTACAACGACGTTTCAGACGCGATTAGGCTTCCGCAGCTTCTCCTTTGGCTAGCGGCAATTTATTTCGATTCTGATGGTACCACACGGGTAACTTCTAGGATTTATGTCAGATAACTGAATTTTCACCCAGTGGATAACAAAAAAAATGCAGCGATACGATGGGGCCAAGTTAGTTATGAGGCGTTAGAGTTAGAGTAGTATGTTCCTGCGCGGAAAGATAACGAAGATATTCTGCACATCATAAACTGATTTAGGCGTGACACACTCATTTGCCAACTAATTTGGTTCTTCGAGAGACTCACCTGCGACCCAGCTGAATCTCTCGTTTGAGATGTCTCCAGGCAACTGAATGTGCTGCACCAGGCCACCTCATGTTTCAGTCGTGGGCTGTCGAGGAATTTTCAGCAACCTTATGAGTAGTGCAATACGATTTATGTGTGCTTTTACCACTCTATCTTATAGAGACGATACACTCACACTGGCTACTGAGGTAAACAAAGTGAAGGATAGGCTTCTGCAGCTGAAAAACTACATCAAAACAATGTATGCCGAGCTGGTGGTTTGTGGCGCGGAAAGGAACACCCTCAAAAAGCAAGTTCTGGTGAGTTAGATTCGGCATAGAACAGGTTTTACAGTGAATATCAACACCGTGTTACTTCAGTGCAACATCCCGTCAATTTCAACTGGGACATTATTGATCGTCAACTCTTTATCATCAATGAGGCTTACTCAGCATCGCGGTTGATTTCATCTATGGTACGGACATATGTGGGCACAGAAAGGATGAGCTTTACTCATCATGTACAATCACGCATGCAATCAATTCGGTTGTAGCACACGTGATTATTGATTTACTGTCAGCACAATGTCAGTTATTTCAGAGCGTTACTACCACATTTGAGAAGCACGTACAGTGGCGCTCGTCCAGGACAGGAAAGTTGGGTTATTTAATCTGCTGTATACTCACACAACACGCTCTTTATCCCAGTTGGACATGACGCCTTGCCTAGGTCAGTGTCTTAGACAGTCAAATATGATCCTCCTGGTACTGAGCTAACCAAACTATTTTAGACTCCCCTGATGAGACCAACGTAGACTCAGTGTGGAAACCCCTTTGAAGAAACGCCACTTGCAGTCAACCTGAAATTTAACGTCCATTGTGACATGCAATAGGTTGACGTATTTTATAGGCATACAAACTCATCTTTTCGACTACCAAAATTCTGTAGAGTGTAAATGGAAGAAATAACTCACCCTCGATAGATGAACTGATCACACTGCATCGGTTGCGCTGGTTTGGCCACGTGCTGCGCATGCCAGTCGACCGACTTCCTCGAAGGGTTCTTTTCGCACAACCACGTGAAGGATGGAAGAGAGCCAGAGGAGGTCAAACAATGACTTGGCGGCGAAGTATAGAAGCCATTACCGGCAAACTCAGTCACGCTGGTCATTGCTGTCTTCTCGGATGGGGACCCCGAAATGGGCCACATCAATGGTTAGAGACATTGTCAGATATGTCCCAGTCGCGCCCTCAACGGCGCTCGTGCATCCAAGCTATTGCCTTCAATGCATAGCTCCTTTTCCAACCCCCACTCAACAGTCCTGTACTTATGCACTAATTTACAAGCTCCCACCTTCACTACACAGATATCAACCCTCCCCAAGTCATCGGTGAACGAAACTGTGGCAGCTACAACCACTGCACGATAAGTAAGCGGTTCCCACGGCTGACAGACATCAGCCGGTATACAACATAAATCAATATACTGCTAGTCATGATAGGCATGAAACCCAAGAGTGATTACGCACTTCCTTCCACGGGTGATAGATGAGAGATAATCTCTCTTCATCGGACGGGATTATTGTAGGACGGATGAGTTAGAACCTGCAGTAGATCTACCAAATATTGAATGCGTGAATGCCATCCGAAAATACGACCTTGGTAAAGTTCTCCAATCATTCAGACTGAACAAAGTCCATCTCGGAGAGTAAATAGAAAAATTTCGACAATAATCTCTCGTCGTCCGCCCGCTAACGCGTTGTAATATATATGTCTCCTTCGACCGCATGTGCAGATCGATCAGAAAATGACAAAGTTGCTAGACTGCCATGGTGCTTTCAAACTGTTGCGGAAGCTAAGCTCGGTAATTGAAAACAAACAATCGATCGTCAGTAGTCTCATCGACACAATGGCATTAAGAGAAAGCCAAGTCATTAGAGTCCGCAGGTTGCACTAATTGAGTCACATGATCATGCGCGAAAACTGGAAAAAAAACAAAGTGCACATAAACGATGAAGATTGTTACAACTCTCATCTGGGCATAGAACCAAACCAGTCAGAATCCGATAGGTTGGTAGGAGCCATCTCCGGAGCAGGAACGCTTTACAGAAGGAGTGGCGATCAGTCGTTTGAGACACGTTAATACGTATCACGGTAGAAAATGAATATTAGATCAAAGTGACGCGATAAACCAATGTCTGCACTGAAAAATACACCTCCGTATGACGCAAGAAATCTATAGTCTCAAAATACAGATAATTACACGAAAACAGTCCGTTTGCACATAGTACTGGTCGGAGAAATGAGCTTCTATCATGCACAAATGCTCTTTGTAGCCTATGTACGCTGTCATGTTAGAAAAGCGATGTATTGTCGGGGGATCGTTGTGATGACGTCTTTATTCGGGTTAAATACAGCATAGCAGTAACTTTTCTTAGGAGCACCTGTGGATACTGAGTTAAACTGCCCAGCGAGACAAAAATTCACTTCTTAATGGAACTTTCATCCCGTGATTGAAGCCAATCTAGGCTAAAAAGCTGAGAAACACTATACAGATGCTTCACCAGCATTATGTGGAGCCAGCCAACACGTGACCACGTGATGTGAAGTCAGTCAACACATGTGACCACGTGATTGGATTCCGTGAGACAAAAATTCACTTCTTAATGGAACTTTCATCCCGTGATTGAAGCCAATCTAGGCTAAAAAGCTGAGAAACACTATACAGATGCTTCACCAGCATTATGTGGAGCCAGCCAACACGTGACCACGTGATGTGAAGTCAGTCAACACATGTGACCACGTGATGTGGATTCCGTGTCACGATATCCTGCCTACGTGCGTGTTTAACAAACTGTTAATCACCCGCTTGTAGTTCAGCGGTCGTTCATTCGAAGTCGAAACTCTCTGAGATTCTGATAATTCGGAATAAGGATGAAACTGCTTCTCGACATTTTAGCACAGACTAACTTCACTGACAGAATGAGATCTCCACATTGTCATATCGCGATTTTTGTTTCAGATGCTAGAACAAAAGTTGGATATCTACAACTTGCGTATGCGTTACGGCCAGCCCCCGAGCCCAACGATGGAGCAAAAGTGGCAAACAAACGTCCGAATCCGAAAGCATCGAGGAACCGAAAAACCAAAGGTTAGTTGAGCGTAACAGTACCGGATACCTCACCTTCAAGCCTGACTACCCTCCATATAAGCCTACTTTAATGAATCCAGCAGGACTCTCAATGAGAAATTTCCGCAGGGTCCTTAATGTACACCTGGAATGTGATTTACTAGCATGTTGGTCCGGTTAGGCACACATGCGTGCGTGCGCTCGTGTATGTGTATACGTGAGCACGATGAAAAATCCCGTTGAATGCAGAACAACCTGAACGCAGCACAGGAATATTCAGACCCAGGTGAACAACAGCACGTAATCATTTAAACAACCGTACGATGTGGCTACTTCTAGTTCCCGCCAATACGAAAAGCAAGATATTAACAACGCGACTCCGGCTTTGTATGCAACCGTGGAATAGTAATGAAATATTCTTGTGAAGAAGGGCAAGCCTTGGTGAACCGAACAAGAAATTAGAGCTTCGTGCACAAAAGTTGATGGAGATGTGTCGGGAATAGCGCAAAATTACACCAGCACAACCTATTGAACTACAGAAGAGAACAGGCGAAATTGCAGTTGAGATGTGTGCATGGTAGCTGGGCATCGAAAGGGTGTTACAGCTGAACAACTGGCGATCATGCATCCAAGCTGTTTCCTTCAATGCATAGCTCCCTACCCAACCCTACTTCCAACTTTACAATCCACCTACGGTGCTGTATTTACGCACTAATTTATCAGCTCCCACCTCCAATTTGCATCTACCTACCTCACCGTCCCGAATCACCGGTGAACGAAATAGTGGCAGCTACAACAACTGTGCGACAAGTACGCGGTTATCACAGCTGACAGTGATGATGATGTTGACAACGTTTTCTTCAAGCACTCAACTGTTTTCGAGACACTTTTGATCGAAGTATCAATTCATTATCAGACCTGACAGTCCCATGGATTGCATTTGGCGCCAGGAATCGTCACTGACAGATTTTTTCATCATTCACAGTCTTTCATAGATTATCCCAGGTAATAAAAACATCAAACCTTAGCTGTTGTCCCAGCAAATTGAAAAGCTTCTCATCTGATGTGTGTTTCCAGGTCCATATTGATGAACACGGCCAGGTAGCATTGATCTGACTCATTTATCATACGTGAAATAATGAGACTGCCTAATCGGTAGGTATGCGAACATTTGCTCGGGTGACCTTCATCCGTCCTACCAAAACGATCATATCAAAACGGGAAAACTTTCATAAACCTCGTATGTTGGCTCCATCCTGTAAGTACACGTACACAACTGGCGCTCTGGGCCTCATGCGTCCGCTCGACAACACCCACTAGATAAGTGAACTGATTTGAAACGTGATTGGTGTTCAGTACACCGGCAATTCTAGAGTATAACCCCATTCTCTTACAGGATAGCATCATTTAAAAGTGTATGATGGCCGTCCAAGAGACATGTCAGTTTCACGGAACTGTCCGATATCACAATGATGTCGGTTTCAATTGTAATTTATTTCGAAATTCGGAAAGTTGCCTCACAGGGGATGTGCGTGTGTGCCTTATCGACGAATGCAACAGCTGATAGGACGGTCAAAGCTCCTTTTACCATTTCATGTACTTAATAAAACTCAGGTTTCCAGTTATAAAAGACAAATTATATCCACAAGAGCCGATATTGCTTTTGTGACGTACAACCGTAGGCTAGGAATTGGTCACTTCGAGGAGGCCGAGAACTCAGTGCAATGGTCTGCTTCGGCTCACCTTGGGGGTAGTCCATTCTGTTAGATGAATTACCTTGAAAGAAGTCAACATGTTTGCAAAATAGAGTAACATTCATCCTCACCGTGGATAGCACGACATCAGTGTTCAACAATGATTTTTCGCTGTCATAGAAAAGTGCTTGCGCTTGCATCTTAAGTTTTCATCTTTGAGACACAGCACACATCACTGCGAAGCGGCTCCAATGTGAGTCCACAAGCAGCCTGTTGTCCTGCTTGCTTTAGGGTGCACACATTGAAGGCGGCCAGACAGACTGGGCATCGAGGCTTGAAGATTGAATTCGAGGATATCGGCACCGAATGTCAGATATTGCTTGCAAAACCGAGGCAGGACGAACAGAGTCATCATTTCTAAGTTCTGGGTTAGTGATGAGGTGGAGAGTGTGGGGAGAGAATGCATGTGAAAGAGAAAACGTGAGGTATCAGCAGTGGCTTGTTTTGCTTACCCGAATTGATGTATGCAGCAAGTAAGACGACCTGGCTAATGGCACCACCAATGTGTGATTCATAGTTGTACTTGGGCTGGGATACTGCCAGGACACCCACAGCTATAAAGGAAGAGGATTAGGGTCCTTAACCAAAGCATTTAGCTCAAAAGCCTGAACGCAAGGTAGCGGTTTTTGGATGGAAATGAAAATACATCACCGTTTATACAGAACAAGTCGCGACACATGTTCTAACCTCCAAGCCAGAGGACCAGGAGACTGTGTCCGTCAGAGCGCTTGCTATTGACCTACTTGGTATGACGGACTCTGTGAGTGTCGCGCGGAAACCCCACAGTATAGCTCAATGGTTCGTCCAGATACACAAACATTACGATAAGGTCCAGTCTCCTCGTGACGAGAAAAAGGCCTTAGTTGGGAATTAAACAAGCGCTTAGAGAGGCTAGCCAAATTTGGATGCTTTAGTGAGTCGGTTTCTTCTGAAGGGCAATGTTCCGGAAAATAAAACCCATTATTTATTCATTGATTATGACAAATTACTTCCAGTAATACTAGCTGCCAAAATGTCATCAGTATGAAAGAGTTGTAACAAAATACTGGATACTCAGGATTCGCTCAATAAATTTCAAAAATGCTTGGTGCAGATGGCTGGTAACCAATCAAAGTGGCATTGGTGGTACACCATTAATTAGGACTGAACTTCTGTACAGTTTGCTGAGATTAACTTGAAAAATACACCACAGGTTTCATCCTGTGCTAAAAAGCTGAGAAGCACTGTACATCTGTTTCATCCTTGTTAGAGAGTTATTAGCAGAGAGAGTTTCAAACCCATGACCGTCCATCCGATGAATGAATACTTAAACGTTTGGCCACAGTTGGCCAATCAGCAATGTGATTAGTCCTCACTTAGACAGAACATAGCGCCACTCATGCTTCAATAAGGGATGCCACATCACGTGGTCATGTATTGACGACTTCTCAGAAAGAACCCAAACATGCGCAACAACCTGGAATAAAAGCAGATAGTATGGAGACGAAGGGGACGCAACACAAAGTAGCATCTACCTCTGTTTTTAATGCGGTAAATGAACATCAAAATCGATGACTGGTTATCCTAACGATCTGAGAGTGGTACTGGATTCATTCTGACCTGCTGCACAAATCTGAGCTCGAACTATACCTGACAGAAGTCAATTATGCTAGAAAAGGAATCAACGGTCGTTTACAACGTACCGGTGCATAAAGAGGTGACATAACTGAAGCATCAAACAACCAAGTATATTTTGTAAGTCCAGAAGTCACGCACTACTGATAATTCCTAATACGAATGAAACACTTGTAGAGCGCTTCTCGGTTTTACAGCTTACATTGACTTCATTGACAGGATGAGAATAACTAACACGGTCACTTCATTGATTGGCGGGGTGGAATCGAAGACTAAACCCAAATAAGACTATTTTCACCGTAAATTTCCTCCAAAGTAAGTTGGACTTGTTTCAGATAAAACCAATGCGTCCTTCCGGGACACTGCCGAACACGTCAACCGCAGCGTACGGGAGGAAAAAGAAGGATCCGGTCCTCGTTTGGCAACCAATTGAAGAGACTCGACAGTCACGACACCTGAGCCAAAATAACGAGAACAGCAAACTCCCCGGGGTCACCAAATCAAACGGTGGAACGTCAGGTGGCAGAACAAGGTCACTAAAAAGGTATGCTCCATTAGTACGTCTCCATTGCAGCTGTAACAACGCATCCGTAGTCATTACACTGTTATGATCTTGAAAGCCAGGCGTACCTGTGGGGCACTGTCCAGGGCATCACAGTTGGTAGATGACCCACCTGGTAAGCGAGAGTTCAGCAGTTCGAGTCCCGTCCAAGGGCCCAATTTTTTGTCTGCATTATGTGCTTGGATTCCTATTTAAAGGCTTGTCACCATCATCACCAAACACTGAAAGTCTGATGCCCAAATCAGCTGACATTTGTCACTGTAGTTAGCCAACACCCCACGAACTAATGATCAAACAAACTACGTGTTCCCGTTCGAGGAGACCCGAAAAAGCAAACGTGTCGTCTGTCTTCAAGATGAAAGAAACCGGAGGTTCAAAAAAATCAAATCGTTCGGCTGTAACATCCTTACGGTGCCTAGCTGTTATGCTACCAGAAGGAAGCCCTAGGGCTAGGATACTACCAAGTTACCCAAGCCTAGACACGGGAAGTCGAGATGCCAAAGTCGGGTTCGAACTACGGCCAGTAAATTCGCGTTTTAACCACTGAGTTACCTAAATGGGTGCAGAATATCTACTAGTTTTCATACCCCTCCACATGGTTGCTTTATTTACTGCGTCTGTTTGGTGGCTGGCGGATTTGCCGTCTTGATCGTCGATAGCATTCTGGTCGGAAACCCCGAATATTTCAGCACAAATAGCCAATGTTGGTTAAAGGTTTTGACTCGAAATAGATCGATAATGAAGACATGGGTTGAGAACGTTCATGGTTCCTCACTTTTCGACTGAGCCTGACCAGTCTTCAGAAGCTTGGAATTATTCCACCCACGTATGATTTGGTGGTAGAATGATGTGTGATGTTGTTGGTGCAGTCCGCCTTCAAAGATGGAGTCCCCGCACTTAGCTGAAGAAATTGCAAATGACGACGCCTGATCGATGTGAGCTTCTCTCCTGATCGTCTGGAGGTGTAGATACCTCGGAACACTTGCAAGAGGTCCCTCCCTCATCCACTGTTCTTACCTCTTCAATCTGAACCCACTAGGTACCAGTGTAAACGCTGATATTGCTGCCTCTGGTGATGATAATCCTAGCCCTAATGCTTCCCTCGGATGGGTTGGCAGCCAACCGAATGTCGACTCATTGCTTGCTAAACTGCAAAGCGATCCATCATAGTTTAACCTGGTTCAAGAGACTCACAAGATGGTCCACAGCGTTTGGTGGATAACCCATGTTTACCATAGCATCTGACATGTCGACGCGTTCAGTACATCTCACTTTTTGGAAGTGTTTATGTTGTGACCCACAATGTGCCAACGTAGGTGGCTTGAACAGAATTTTGACGTGGACACTCTGAAGTGATGCCTCATTAGACTGTAAGTATAAATCTGCCCTCAGTCAGACGTCACTGTTCCAGAACAATCTGGGAAACCATTTGTGGCCAAATTTTGGTCTTGGTTACAGGAGCTTCATGGGAACTATTCTGCTAAAGAAATCGAGTTTCTAGACAGACGGAGAACCGGTCAGCAGGTTAAATCAGCGTCAAATATTGGTTGGTGAGAGTTAATGGCTGATTCTTACGGCTGTTAGGTTAGGAGAGAATCTAGCACGGAGGTGAATGGGAGTTGGGGCCTTCTTCTTTCAGTCCAGTTGACCATTTCTCTCAAGTGCCGTTTTTACCAAGTTTGTTAGCTCGTGTTTGCTGGTGATTGTTACGATAAATGGCCTGAGGGCTAAGGAAGGTTACGTGGATTTTGGTCGGATTGAGTTCAAAACCGTTTGCGTTGAAAATTCCTCCTTACTGAGCATTGTACACAAACAAAACTGTTTCACGCTGGCAATTCAGTGGGGGTATCAACCCCAGTATAAGGACATAACAAGTGGACATGGCCAACGGCGGTCCCGCGCGGAATGTCTGACGATACCAGAACAGCCCAGAATAAGAAAACTCTGTGCAATCGAAGAAAAGCCTACCGGTTGACGGGACCAACAGATGTGTATAACACGATAGTGTGTAGCGACTGCACAAGGGTTTACTAGGAACAGATAATCACACAGGTGCACGTTAGAGGTGATGAACACCAGTGGACCGGAAAAAACAACGGTCAGGAGAAGACTTGGTATCGGTGGGGCGTCAACTAAACAACAGACACAGAGTTGGAAAAGTCAGGCGAGGACTACGAGTCACACCGTAACGACGAGTAGTCATAGTGGCAGAAATCGTCAAGCATCTCGGGGCTAGCCGGATTGACAAGTTCAAGGTGTCAATGAGTTTGCAGCCTGATACTTTACCCACCCACTTGACTTGACGATATCTTTGCGTCCACAGAGAAAGGTTACCTACTGATGGTTTATCAGGCCTCACTGAAACGATACCTATGTCCCGTTAAGTTAGACGGTGTCGTCCCTGTGAACAATGCTAAACTGGCTTGTGTCCCTGCCGTGCAAAAGCACAGTTCACGATGCAATGTGGACCATGACCAGAAGATATACGCCGCTTCCAGTTGAAAACGGGCATTACCTCGTTTAGGGATGACCAGGCGTTGAAAAATGCTACTCATCGTTCCACATCATATAGGACTTCGTTCCAGTAATAGTGCTTCTGTCAGTTCGAGCCAGGTGATTAAGTGAGAGGCCTCCCTTCGCAGATGTCTCATGGAGAGGAGCCACTGCATTTACATCATCATCATTGTCAGCTGTAATAACCGCGTACTCGTCGTACAATGGTTGTAGCTGCCGTAGTTTCGTTCACCGATGATTTGGAGTAGGGGTAGGTAGCTGCGCATTGCAGGCGGGAGCTGATAAATTGGTGCATAAATCCAGCAGTCAGTGGGCTGTCAAGTGGGGAAGGGGGGTTGGAAAAGGAGCTATGCATTGAAGGCAATAGCTTGAATGCACGAGCGCGACTGGGCCATGTCTGACAATGTCTCTAGCCATTGATGTGGCCCGTCTCAGGGTTCTCATCCAAGAAGACGGCAGTGGCCAGCGCAGCTGAGTTTGCTGGTAACGGATTTCATACTTCGCTGTCGAGTCATTGTTTGGCCGCCTCTGGCTCTCTTCCATCCTTCACGTGGTTGTGCGAAAAGAGCCCTTTGAGGAAGTCGGTCGACTGGCATACGCAGCACGTGGCCAAGCCAGCGCAAC